TGGAAAACAGTGGTGCAGGATTTCCCCAGAGGAGGAAAGAGCTTATTCAGATAAGCGGTTTTCAAACAAGAGCGCTCACAGTCTTGAAATCCTGCCGTCATTGTTTAAGGCCAACCCTTGTCACGTCCAGACCACTGGATAGCAGAGCTCACGGACGACGGGGCAGCCGGGCTGAACTGGTGCTAAAGTCAACAGCCCATAAATCTACCACGTGGCCTCAGGAATCTGCTAACAAAACACAGATACGAAGGAATCCCGCGCGTCCACTCCATGACTCACTGTACAGCCGGGGAGGGGGGGATCCTCCCCTGGGGAAGGAAAGCCTCCCCCAGTCCACAGAACTCCCCTAATCTACGGGCCCCTGCCTCCCACTTCTCCCCTGGGGAAGGAACACTTACCCCAGTCCACAGAACTCCCCTAATCTACAGGGCCCCTGACTCCCGCTTCTCCCCTGGGGAAGGAAGGCCTCCCCCAGTCCACAGAGCCCCCCAATCTATGGACCCCTGCCTCCTGCTCCTCCCCAGGGAAGGAAGGCCTCCCTAGTCCACAGAGCTCCCCTAATCTATGGGGCCCCTGCCTCCTGCTTCTCCCCCAGTCCACAGAACTCCCCTAATCTACAGGGCCCCTGACTCCCGCTTCTCCCCTGGGGAAGGAAGGCCTCCCCCAGTCCGCAGAGCCCCCCTAATCTACAGGGCCCCTGCCTCCTGCTCCTCCCCAGTCCACAGAGCCCCCCGATCTATGGGGCCCCTGCCTCCTGCTCCTACCCTGTGCCACATACAAGGCATGGCAGCCTTTGTAGCTGGCACGAGTCCTGGGAAAGCACACCTCCAGTTTCGCACCTGTCCTCCCTAACTCTTGTGGCTCCTGCATCCCCAGAATTTCCCAATCAGAGCTGCAAATATTTGTCCACAAGAAAGTAAAGGGAAAATCCACAGTAAGAGGGGACGTGTCTGCTGATCACACATCTGAGAGGGGCTTGTGGCTGGGAGCTGCGACTCACTCCCTTTCCAGATGAATGACTCTGGGCTATCCTCAAACCAGGAAACTCTGGTGGCCTCGTGGGTAAGGAGCTGCTCTGCCAAGCCAAAGGCCGACAGATCAAATCTACCAGCAGCTTCTTGGGAGAAAGACAATCTCCGTGTGATTTACAGTCTTGAAAACCCACTATGGGGTCAGTTACACATCAGTTCTGACTCCATAGCACATAACAATACAGCCACGTCCTCAGACTCGGACCCTGGTGGTGTGGTCCCCAGGGAGTCACATGCTAACCACAGACCAAGCCTCTGGTGGGTCCAATCGCACGGTTTCTTGAGAGGAAGACGGGCTGTTTCTCTCTTTGTGAATTAATACCCTGTGGCTCCACAGGAAAAGATGTTGCAGTCTGCACCTGAAAAGATTGTTGTTGTTGTTGTCGTGTACCTTTGAGTCAGAACTGACCCAGAACTGACCCTCTGGTGGGTTTTCAGAGACAGTTTATTGCATAGGAGGAGATTTCCCATCCTCCCACAGAGCAGCCTGCAGTCTTGAACCCCCTGCCTTAGGGATTGCAGTGCAGCTTCTTGCCTCTAGGCCATCAGAGGTCCCTGCTGAAATATTCAAGGCTCTCCTCGGTTGTAGCGGCCGCTGTGAGTCAGGACTGACTTTGTGGTGATGGGTTGGGGTTCTGTCTCCACAGGACAGGGTCTCTGTGGGCCTGGCTGGAGGACGGCTGTCCCCTGTGCCCACCCCTCACCTGGGAGATCTCTTTCGAGTACTTTGCGCACAGGCCATTGATGTTCATAAAGAAAGCCTGGATGCTGCTGTCGGTCTGGAAGAGAAAGAGAATCATCACCTATGCTGACCACGACTAACAAAGGCTCCCAGCCACTTTTTACATGGACGCACTCTGAATCAGAACCGGCTCCCCACTCAGAACATGAGTGACCAACACGCCGTCGTGTGGGCGGGAGATAGATGGTGGGCATGTGAAATGGAGACAGCAACATGAGCTCACTGTGTCCCCCAGCATTTCATCCGGACCCCGGCAACATGAGCTCACTGAATGTTCCTCCAAAATATAGCATCAAAGGATTAAAATATAATCCCTCAGAACCGACTTATTAAAAAAAAGAAGAAAAAGAAAAAAATAAGGGACTTTCAGAAGGTTTTGTTGACTCTAAACAAGAGGCTTTAATAATAATAAAAAACCAAACCAAACAAATAAAAACCAAACAAAAAAAACAACCCCAAAACGAAACTTTCCACAATGACCCTCAACCAAAACAAGAGAGCCCATCGTAGAATCCAGTCGCTTCACCCAGTTTCCAAAGTGGAGACAAGGCCTTGGCCTTAAACTCAAGTGTCCTCCTGGAGGTCTTATTGACTCTAAACAAGAGGTTTAAATAAAGAAAACAATCTACACAGACCCTCAACCAAAACAAGAGTGCCATCATATAGCGTCGAGCCAATGGAAGTCCAAAATGTAAGAAAAGGGCTTGGCAATATATATTGTTGTTAAGTGCCATCTATTACTGACCCCATGAAGAAAAGACTTTAACCTTGTTCTATAACTATTGACCTTTCCCTAAGGTTATAGAGTTTCCGTAGGCATGTTTAGGAAGTGGATGCCACTCCTGCTTCCAAGCCTGTCTTAATCTGTTAGCTAACCAGATATCTGGATATTGTCAACCATGTGTAACCATTATGACACTTGACAGACCATGGCACAACATTCAGTATCACAGGAATCCCAAGTTATCTCAATACACAGAAATGACAGAAGAGTGCTGTACCTGCATTAAAAAACAAGGAACTCATGCAATATTACTCAAAATGGTTGACTCTGGAGAACATTATGCTGAGTGAAATGTCCCAGTCACAA